CTGGAGAAACGTAATTGAGAAGTCAAGGGAGTGCAGCTCGTAGTCTCGCTGTGCTGCTACGTGCAGTAACACCCGAAGAGTAGTCATCTTCGGGGTCGGGGCGAAGGTCTGGGAGAAGTCGACTCCCTCACGCTGACTGAAACCCCTAGCAACGTAGCGCGCCTTGAACACAGGCGGTGAACCAGGTGGCCGCTTCACCTTGAAGAGCCACATGCCATCGACTACGTTCGCCCTGGGAGCGGGAACTGCGTCGACGTAGGTGCCTGTGGATCTCCAAGACGCTAACTCCGAGGCCATAGCCGCTTTCCACTGAGAGGCCCACGCCCCTGACACTGCCTCGCGGTAAGTACGAGGAGTCGGTATGTCAAGGGCGTCGGGGTCTCCCTCGGGGGATAGCAGCATGGCACAGACAGAGGGAGAAGCAGCTGCCCAGTACTCCAGCTCCGACTCTCTGTCCTCTAGGACGTTACAGCCAAGGGCAAACTCACCCCCGACGGACAGAGGACGGGAGGGAGGAGCTGGCACCACACGAGTGGTGTATTCAAGGCGACTGGCGGCAGCAAACTCAGCGACAGCGGCAGTGAGAGCCGAGACAGACGACGGAGGGAAACGAGAGGCGGTGACAAGAGTGGCGAGGACACGAGAGACAACAGGACGAACAGCGCGGTAGTAGTCAGTGACAGGAGTAGGGGGGGAAGGGAGAGAGGACGGAGGAGGAGACGGGAGAACGGACTCAGGAGGAGGACGACGAAGAGACGAACAAAGCAGGGCAGTGCGGAGGTCGGTAACGGGAGACGAGTGACGAGCACGCGGAGGACAGGGACGGACACGAGAATGCGGGACACCAGGTGGAGGAGACTGCGGTGGAGGAGAAGACCAGACCGCCGGACTGGCGTCAGGAGGAGGAAACGTGGGGCCAAACGCTGGAGGGGACAGAGTGTGAACAGGAGGAGAGGAGGGAAGACCAAGGGCCCGAAGGCCACTCACGGGTGGGAACAACTGCCGCTCCAGAGGGAGCTGCGGTGGTCGCGGCGGCGGCGGTGGCGTCTGCTGCTGTGGCGGCGGCTGCTGCTGCTGCTGCGGCGGCGGCTGCTGCTGCGGTCGCTGCTGCTGCTGCTGCTGCTGCTGCTGCTGCTGCTCGAGCAGGTCCAACTGCCGCAACTCCTGCCGCTCCCTCTCCAACAGCACCTGCTCCTCACGCTCACACCGACGGGCCGCCTGGAGACGCGTGTCGTGGCGGTGGGGAGGCGGAGTGGACTCCGCAGAACCAGTGTCTCCAGCTACAGTCTCCTCAGAACCAGCACCTCCAGCGCCTCCAGCACCAGCACCCCCAGAACCAGCACCTCCATTGCCAGCGCCTCCAGCACCGGCACCCCCAGAACCAGCACCTCCAGTGCCAGGACCTCCAACTCCAGCACCCCCAGAACTAGCACCTCCAGTGCCAGCACCTCCAACTCCAGCACCTTCAGAACTAGCACCTCCAGTGCTAGCACCTCCAGCTCCAGCACCAACCGAGTCCACAGTAACCTGTCGCGGAAGTGCCGAAGGCTGCTGAGGGGACTGTGAGGAGGACTGCGGGGAGGGAGACGCTGCCTGATGCGCGACCGAGGGTAGAGGGGTAGCGTGGGACACACCAGACGGGGCAGGACCAGGGGGGGGCGGGGGTACCGGAGGAGCAGGAGCAGGAGGAGGAGAGGGTGCTAGGAAAAGGGGGGGAGGGGGTACCGGGAGACCTCGACAGGGGTACCGGGTGTAGTAGGACACAGACTCGTCAAACCGGACGTCACGGGAGTCTAGGAACTGGTGGAGGGGCGGGTGGTAAAAGGACCAGTCGGCAGAGTCCACTAGGAAACCAAGGAAGACACAGGGGACGGCGCGTGCCGAGAGCTTGTCCGCGGAGGTGTCGCGAACAAGCGCAAGGCAGCCCCACACACGAAAGGCCGACCCAACACCAGGGGAACCGGTCCAAAGACTGGTCGGTGAAGCCTCGGGCCGCGAGACACGTGGCTGGAGGTTCAGCTGGTGTGCGGCGTAGCGAACCGCGTAGGGCCACATAAAATGGGGCGCACGGGCATGGATCATGAACGTGCGAGCAATGTCCATGACCAAGCCAATGCGGCGCTCAGCAACCCCATTCTGCTGTGGGGGCTCTGGAAGCGTCCAGGACTGTACGATGCCCTGTTCGCCACAGAATCCGCCAAGAATGCCGGCGCGAAACTCGCCCCCACGGTCGGAGTGTAGACAACTGACACGACGACCACGAGTGCCCTCAGTAGCCAGAAGCCACCGGATCAGCGTAGCAGTCACCTCGGACTTCTTCGCGAGAGGGAACACTGTGGTGTACCTGGAGAAGTTGTCGACGACCACCAGAAAGTAACGCTCCCTCCCAGAACCCTGCGTCGGGTCAGGGCCCCAGACGTCCAAGTGGAGGGTCTCGAAGGGAGCAGTGGCCGGACGAAGGGAGGAGGAGTGGGGAGTGGCGCGTAAGCGACCGGCGACGCAAGGAGTGCAAGGGGGAGCAGGGGAGGTGGGGAGCGACGGAAAGGTGCGTGGGAGACCGGTGACAAGCCCGTGAGTGGTCATCCGGCGGAGGCGGGGGATCGACGAGTGGCCAAGGCGGTGGTGCCACAAGACGGTCCGGTGGGTGAGGGACCGACAGGAGCAGGACGCAGCGACTGGACTAGACAGCGTGACCTGACTAGACACGGTAACTGGACAAGACACGACCACCTGGCTAGACACAGCAACCGGACTGGACACCTGGACTGGAGGGGACGCAACGACCTGAGCGGAGGACGCAACCGGGGAGCGCTCGGTGTGGAGAACGTAGAGACCGGAGCGGGGCTCCCTGGTGAACGTGGCCAGAACAGCACCTATGGCAGCGTCTGTACAGACCGCAGTCCTCCCACCCCCCACAAAGGTAACCGTGATCCCACTGTCCTGGAGGTAACCAACACCCACCAAGTTCCGTGTGAACGAGGGGATGTGGAGGCCGCGCAGGACACCAGAGGGGACCACAGGACACGGGAGGGTAGTTAGCTACGCGCAACGGCTGGTCCTGAGGTAGGATCAGCCAGAGCCACCAAAACAGGAGTGAGGAGTGGCGTGAGGGTCGTGTGGTCGCGGAAGAAGCACTGAGACGCACCAGAGTCCAGCGTGAAGGACAGGGACGCCTCAGCGGGAGGGTCACCTGTCCTAGTGGCTACACAAGCACCTAGAGCAGCAACACAAGCACCTAGACTAGAAAGGCACAAGTCTACACTAGCAGGAGGCAAGCAAGCTAATCTACGAACACGCGAGCACACAGATCCATCAGCACTATAGTCAACATCAGCATACAAAGCATGCTGACGAGCATCGTCCATAGACAGATCAAACACATCAATCTTACGGGCTAACAGACGAGCCCAGCGAGGCGTGGTCGCCGTAGGGCCCCAACGAGCACGGTAGAGGTCGTCGAGGCGGCGGAAGCACCGCGCGGCAGAGTGGTCATCACGACCGCAGAGACAGGGGCTGCCAGGTCCGGTGAGGCACCAGTGGGTGCAGGGGCCAGTGTCACGGCGAGGGGGGCGAGGGGCCCAGCTGGAAGTGCTGCCGCTGCGGCCGGTGCTCCCTGGTCCTCCCGGAACCCACTGCGGCGGGGGACCCCAGTGCTGCTGCGGACCCCACTGCAGTGGGGGCCCCCACTGCTGGAATTGCTGCGGTGCCTCCTGCTGCTGCGGTCCCTGCTGCTGCTGCTGTCCCTGCTGTGACTGGTGCTGCTGTGGCTGCTGCTGCTGGGGGCCAACACCCCCGCTGGTCGGGCCACCACCAGTGGGTGGGCCTGTGTGTCCTGCACCTCCGCCAAGGCCCCCTCCTCCTGGTGCACAACCGCCGCCGCCACCGCCGCTGCCGCCTCCACCACCGCCGCTCCCACCTCCACCGCCACCTCCGCCGCCGCCTCCACCGCCTCCACCTCCCCCCTTCCCGCCCTTCTTGCCACCCTTGCCCCGTTTCTGCCAGTCTGCGGCGGAAACGGCAGCAGTGTCCTCAGAAACCGACACAGCAGCACAAGCGCGGGTAGCAGTGAAAGTGGGAAGCTGAGGGGCCGCACACCCCGCAAAGAGACGGGGGGCCACTGCGTCAGTGGCGGAGGCAACGGTGAGGAGACTACTTTCGATCGTCCCGAGAGCGGTCTCAAGGAGATTGATGGTGAGCTCAGTGGGGTGCTTCTGGAGAAGTGAGTCGCGAGCACTGCTAAGGCGGTCAGGGAGGCGGGTGACTAACCAGTGCATAGTGAGCCACATGGGGGGGGGGAGCAGCAAGAAGCTGGGCGTCGGTACAGGCCGCACGGAAAGCGGCGTCAAGTGAGCGGAGGTGAGTCACTAGGTCGGACACAGTCGCAAACGAGCCTAGGTCGGGAAACACGAACGGCATGAGGAGGCGACTGAGGGAGGCAGAGGAAGGGGTGGAATAGCGGGCAACAATAGCATCCCAAACCCCCTTGTCAAAGTGGGCGGCCTCAGTCGGGGGGAGAAGCTCCGACAGCGTGAGAGCGGCAGCAGCGTCACGAGAGAGCCACACATCCCGTGCCAGGACCCGACGCTCGTAGTCCGCCTGGGCCGTAGGAGTCGGCTCCGAGGCGGTTGGCAGGGCGGCGGGGGACGGGGGGGCCTTGAGGGCACCAGACGCGTGGGCCCACAGAGTGGCGCCGTCCTGACGCTGGCTGGTAAGGAAACGCGTGGTCTGGCGCTGCCAGGTACCAAACTCTATTGGGCGTCCCTCCGCATCGAAACGAAGGCGACGGGACTCCATAACGGAGGCCATGCTAGAGGCGGCTGGAGCTCAGCGGAGGCGGAGCTAAGAACGAGGAGGGAAGCCTAGGAGCGCCAGGTGTGGCGCGGTGTGAGACCGGCGGAGCTAGAGGCTAGGAGCACGGAGGGACCTAGTCTAGGCGTGAAACGGCGGAGCTCCAGCTACATGCACTAGGGGCGAGGAACTAGCAGGAACACTGGTCTAATCTAGGTGGCCGACGAAAGAAAGCGGCTGCCAGCCGCTGAGGGCGAGACCAGTGGCAAAAGAGTTGTCCAGGGCCCCGCGCGCAGGGCGGTAGTGGGGTTCGGGCGCGTGCCAATTGCGGGTGGGAACGGGCTAACGCGGAGGCGCGAGCCTAGGTGAGGGCGAGGGCACGGTGGGCTCGGGGGGAGGGCGCACGACGGTAGGAGAGGGCGGGGAGGAGGGTGCGTGACGGTAGGAAGGGGTGGGGAGGAGGGCGCGGCGGTGAGAAGGGGCAGGGAGGAGGGCGCGACGGTAGGAAAGGGGCGGGGAGGGGAGGTTGACGCGACGGGCAGGGGAGGGCGACGGCATTGGGAGGGGAGGGCGACGCGATGGGTAGGGGGAAGGGAGGCGACGCGACGGGCAGGGGAAGGGGAGGCGAACGCGACGGGCAGGAGGAGGGGAGGCGACGCGACGGGCAGGGGGAGGGGAGGCGACGCGACGGGCAGGGGAAGGGGAGGCGAACGCGACGGGCAGGAGGAGGGGAGGCGACGCGACGGGGCAGGGGGAAGGGAGGCGACGCGACGGGCAGGAGGAGGGGAGGCGAACGCGACGGGCAGGAGGAGGGGAGGCGACGCGACGGGCAGGGGGAGAGGAGGCGACACGACGGGCAGGGGAAGGGGAGGGGAGGCGACGCGACGGGCAGGGGGAGGGCGCGACGGGCAGGGGGGGGGCGCGACGGGCAGGGGGAGGGTGCGACGGGCAGGGGGAGGGCGTGACAGTGGGAGGGGCCGGGCTAGGCGCGCGGTGAGGGCGCGGAGGGCGCGGAGGGCACTAACGTGCGGAGGGCGCGGAGGGCACGAACGTGCGGAGGGCGCGGAGGGCACGGAGGGCGCGGAGGGTGCTAAGGCGCGGAGGGCACTAAGACGCGGAGGGCGCGTGGGCGCGGAGGGCGCTAGGGCTAGGATAGGGCTAGGCTAGGGCTAAGGAACTCGAACCTACAATGATACCATCTCAAAAATAGAATGCAAATAGGCAACCCTAACTGTGTTATACTCTCTAAGGTGCAACTCACTAGAGCCTATCACACATATCAACATTTGACACCCGATGCCTTGCTGCTGCTCGACCGCCCCAGCTCCCGTGGTGACTCCTGCACGGGGAGGGGAGGAAGGAGGAGGGTGGAGGAGGGAAGGGTGGAGGGGTGTCAGAGGTCCACTGGTGATCCCCGATTGATCCTAGGGAAGGGTTACAGGCATGTTGGCCTGGGGGGTTATGGGCGCACTGACCCGCTACTTAACAATCCCTTTTATCCCAGTGGTTAGTGGCTGGGATTCTGACATGGTATCAGAGCGAAGGTCTCGGGTTCGAATCCCAGTGTGTGCACTCTGGGCATCCCAGTGCGGGGGGGTGTCAGAGGTGTGAGAGGGAGTTGGTGGGGGTGGGGGTGGGGGTGTGAGAGGGGAGCGTGCAGGGCAGATTGTCAGAGACATGTATGTCCCACGAATGGCTTGCTGCTGCTCCACCACCCCAGCCTGCAGAGTGACCCCTGCAGGGGGGGAAAGAGGGGGATGGGTGTGAGATGCTGGCCCAAGATTCATTGGTGACATGACACCGTGACAGACAAGCAGGTGGCTTGGTGGATGCGTCGAACAGGTGGGCACACACAGACGAGTCACTCCAGAGCAGAATGCAGTCCAAGTGAGTGGCGCAGCCAAATGATGCTGTGCAGTGCACCCCCCGTGTGCGCTAACCAACAGGCTGTGCTGTGGACACCCGAGTGCTGCAGCAGCCTCAAGGTCCACGAGCGTCAGCAGAACCAGAAGAGGCCATGCAGGCAATGGAGGAAGTGGAGGCGATGGGATGAATAGTGGGTTGCACCATGGAACACGGCCGAGAGGAGGGGAGTGTGTGGAGGGGCGAGAGGGCGTGCGTGGGTCACCAGTGTTTCAGACTTGTGCTGGTCGTATGCTGCCTGCACCTCCGCCAGATAGCTGCTGAAGCCCAGCGACTGCATGCACGCGCACGAGCAAGCGAGGGGGTGACAGGCAACACAAGAGGGGGGACTGTCAAAAGAGCAGGAAAGACGCAGCAGGAGAGGAAGAGAGGCAGCAAAGTGTCCCAGAGATTCAATCGGCAAGGCCAGCGCACGGGCAGGGAAGGTATGGACTGGCTTACTTCTACCACTCACCACCACCGCCCTCTATCTCAACCCCACCACCCTCTAGCTCGCCCCCACCGTCCTCTCTCTCAACCCCACCACCCTCTCTCTCGCCCCCACCGTCCTCTCTCTCAACCCCACAGCCCTCTCTCTCACCCCCACCGCCTTCGATGTCACCTCACCGTCCTCTCTCTCACCCCACTGCCCCCTGTTTCACCCCACACCCCTCCATCTCACCCAATCGCCCCCCCTCTCACCTCCAGCGCCAGCAGCACGTGCTCGGGGGCGATGGTGCGCTTGTCCTCCTTGATGCAGATCTCATTCGCCTCCGATGAGATCAGATTGATGAACTCTGGGAGGGCAGGGGCGAAGCACAGTGGTGGCGGTGCCAGCACGCCCAGGCGAAAGCGCACCATAAGGCATTAGAGGGCACAAAACCTTTCTGTGCGCACTGGATGATTCTTCAAGCAGAACCGGCTTGGGGAGGAGAAGTCCATCAAGCAGGAGAGTGAACGAGGGGATGGGAAGAGAGAAAACTTCCACACTGCGTTCATACAAGCACTCTCAACCCACCCAAACAAGCAGCGAGGCAACATGAGGCATGAGTCCATGAGGCATGTGTCCATGAGGCATGGGTCCATGAGGCATGAGTCCATGAGGCATGAGCCCATGAGACATGGGTCCATGAGGCATGGGTCCATGAGGCATGGGTCCATGAGGCAAGTGTTCATGAGGCATGAGTCCATGAGGCATGAGTCCATGAGGCATGGGTCCATGAGGCATGGGTCCATGAGGCATGTGTTCATGAGGCATGGCATAAGTCCATGAGGCATGGGTCCATGAGGCATGAGTCCATGACGCATGGGTCCATGAGGCATGTGTCCATGAGGCATGGGTCCATGAGGCATGTGTTCATGAGGCATGGATCCATGAGGCATGAGTCCATGAGGCATGAGTCCATGAGGCATGAGTCCATGAGGCATGAGTCCATGGGTATGAGTCCGTCAGCCATGAGTCCGTGAGGCATGAGTCCATGAGGCATGGGTCCATGAGTCATGGGTCCATGAGGCATGAGTCCATGAGGCATGTGTCCATGAGGCATGTGTCCATGAGGCATGTGTCCATGAGGCATGAGTCCATGAGGAATGGGTCCATGAGGCATGAGTCCATGAGGCATGTGTCCATGAGGCATGGGTCCATGAGGCATGGAATCTTGAGGCATGTGTCCATGAGGCATGGGTCCATGAGGCATGGAATCATGAGGCATGTGTCCATGAGGCATGAGTCCATGAGGCATGGGTCCATGAGGCATGAGTCCATGAGGCATGAGTCCATGAGGCATGAGTCCATGAGGCATGAGTCCATGAGGCATGTGTTCATGAGGCATGAGTCCATGAGGCATGAGTCCATGAGGCATGGGTCCATGAGCCATCAGTCCATGACATGAGGCATGAGTCCATGAGGCATGAGTCCATGAGGCATGAGTCCATGAGGCATGAGTCCATGAGGCATGGGTCCATGAGGCATGAGTCCATGAGGCATGAGTCCATGAGGCATGAGTCCATGAGGCATGAGTCCATGAGGCATGTGTCCATGAGTCATGTGTCTATGAGGCATGGGTCCATGAGGCATGTGTCCATGAGGCATGAGTCCATGAGGCATGTGTCCATGAGGCATGTGTCCATGAGGCATGTGTCCATGATGCATGAGTCCATGAGGCATGAGTCCATGAGGCATGTGTCCATGCGGCATGGGTCCATGAGGCATGGGTCCATGCGGCATGGGTCCATGAGGCATGGGTTCATGAGACACGAGTCCATGAGGCATGAGTCCATGAGGCATGGGTCCATGAGGCATGTGTCCATGAGGCATGTGTTCATGAGGCATGTGTTCATGAGGCATGAGTCCATGAGGCATAAGTCCATGAGGCATGAGTCCATGAGGCATGAGTCCATGAAGCATGAGTCCATGAGGCATGAGTCCATGAGGCATGAGTCCGTGAGGCATGAGTCCGTGAGGCATGAGTCCATGAGGCATGGGTCCATGAGGCATGGGTCCATGAGGCATGAGTTCATGAGGCATGTGTCCATGCGGCATGTGTCCATGAGGCATGAGTCCATGAGGCATGAGTCCATGAGGCATGAGTCCATGAGGCATGAGTCCATGAGGCATGAGTCCATGAAGCATGGGTCCATGAGCCATGAGTTCATGACATGAGGCATGAGTCCATGAGGCATGAGTCCATGAGGCATGAGTCCATGAGGCATGAGTCCATGAGGCATGGGTCCATGAGGCATGAGTCCATGAGGCATGAGTCCATGAGGCATGAGTCCATGAGGCATGGGTTCATGAGGCATGTGTCCATGAGGCATGAGTCCATGAGGCATGTGTCCATGAGTCATGTGTCTATGAGGCATGGGTCCATGAGGCATGTGTCCATGAGGCATGAGTCCATGAAGCATGTGTCCATGAGGCATGTGTCCATGAGGCATGTGTCCATGATGCATGAGTCCATGAGGCATGAGTCCATGAGGCATGTGTCCATGCGGCATGGGTCCATGAGGCATGAGTCCATGAGGCATGAGTCCATGAGGCATGGGTCCATGAGGCATGAGTCCATGAGGCATGAGTCCATGAGGCATGAGTCCATGAGGCATGGGTCCATGAGGCATGAGTCCATGAGGCATGAGTCCATGAGGCATGAGTCCATGAGGCATGGGTTCATGAGGCATGTGTCCATGAGGCATGAGTCCATGAGGCATGTGTCCATGAGTCATGTCTCTATGAGGCATGGGTCCATGAGGCATGTGTCCATGAGGCATGAGTCCATGAAGCATGTGTCCATGAGGCATGTGTCCATGAGGCATGTGTCCATGATGCATGAGTCCATGAGGCATGAGTCCATGAGGCATGTGTCCATGCGGCATGGGTCCATGAGCCATGGGTCCATGCGGCATGGGTCCATGAGGCATGGGTTCATGAGACACGAGTCCATGAGGCATGAGTCCATGAGGCATGGGTCCATGAGGCATGTGTCCATGAGGCATGTGTTCATGAGGCATGTGTTCATGAGGCATGAGTCCATGAGGCATGAGTCCATGAGGCATGAGTCCATGAGGCATGAGTCCATGAGGCATGAGTCCATGAGGCATGAGTCCATGAGGCATGAGTCCGTGAGGCATGAGTCCGTGAGGCATGAGTACATGAGGCATGGGTCCATGAGGCATGGGTCCATGAGGCATGAGTCCATGAGGCATGAGTCTATGAGGCATGAGTCCATGAGGTATGGGTCCATGAGGCATGAGTCCATGAGGCATGGGTCCATGAGGCATGGGTCTATGAGGCATGAGTCCATGAGGCATGAGTCCGTGAGGCATGAGTCCATGAGGCATGATTCTATGAGGCATACGCTTAGTTGCGGAAGACGCAGGGACCGTCCTGCGTCTAGCGTCTAGATGCAGCGTCTAGACGCTAGACGCAAGACGCACCTTTAGACGCTAGACGCATGGGGGGGAAATTTTTGGTCAGCCCGAAAAAAAAAATCGCGCGCGCGAAATATCAACCCCTCCCACCCATTTCGACCTTGATAACATCCCCCAAACCTAGCTTTTAGCCCCAAACCCCATAATAGTATCAGCTGCTAGGACTAAAGTGTTGCACGCCTCTGCTCTACAATGAGCTGGCCAATTAAAGATGTTCTAGAAGAAGCATCGGAGGAGGTGTTGGAGAAATTGAGAAACGGAAAACTAAGTCAAAATTGGAATTCGTCCCCCGCAGCCAACAGATTTGTGAACCATTTCGTGACCAACCAATTACCCCTCCCATTACCAATCTTCACCGCACTGAATCTAGAAAACCCAACCAGCTTGAGATATGAAATTGTGAGCGTCAATGTTAGATCTAGAAGTTCTAGATCTCGATGAATGTCACAGCAGCCTAATTCGTCTGCTATACCCAGAGGTCGTCTTCATCCCATTCCCCCTCCCCCTCCCCATGGCCTATAGAAAGTTTTTTAGGCTGCCCGTACTACTTTTTTGGCCTCCCCGTGGTTTCGTCTATTATGCGTCTAATCTGGCCTGAAATGCGTCTAGCGTCTTAGACGCTGCGTCTAGACGCAACCGTCTAAGACGCTAGACGCGCCTTCCGCAACATAGGGCATGAGTCCATGAGGCATGAGTCCATGAGGCATGAGTCCATGAGGCATGAGCCCATGACGCATGAGTCCATGAGGCATGGGTCCATGAGGCATGAGTCCATGAGGCATGTGTCAATGAGGCATGAGTCCATGAGGCATGTGTCTATGAGGCATGAGTCCATGAGGCATGGGTCCATGAGGCATGTGTCCATGAGGCATGGGTCGTTGAGGCATGTGTTCATGAGGCATGAGTCCATGAGGCATGTGTCCATGAGGCATGTGTCCATGAGGCATGGGTCCATGAGGCATGGGTCCATGAGGCATGAGTCCATGAGGCATGAATCCATGAGGAGGCATGTGTCCATGAGGCATGAGTCCATGAGGCATGAGTCCATGAGGCATGTGTCCATGCGGCATGGGTCCATGAGGCATGGGTCCATGCGGCATGGGTCCATGAGGCATGGGTTCATGAGGCACGTGTCCATGAGGCTGTTGGTGCAACCCTACGGTTTGCACTCGGCTTGTTGTCCGTGTGCGTGCATGCGTGTGTGCATGGAATGGTATGAGGGCATGAGATAATATATATTTCATGCTTATAATAGTGTGTGAATGTTGAGTCATGATGTCGAATGTGTGCGTGTCAAGTCAATAGCGAGTTATCGCTATTCGTGTCCCGCGCGGTTTCTATCTTGTCGCTTGTGTGTCTCGCGCGGTTCCTATTTTGTCCTGTGTCGAACGTTCGGCGTGTCGCAGGTGTGTGCAGCAGACCCATCAAGAACTCAAGGATGAGTTTGTGATGAAGAACCCGAGCCCCTGGTGTCAACATTCAAGTGATCGCGAAGCTCGCCAAAAGGGTACACCTCAAGATATTGAAGATAGTTACATTACTTTGTGTAGTGTAACATTTCAGTTGGTGTAGGCCCTTGTGAAGGGTAGTTTCGAGACCCTTCTTGGTTGGGGACAGTGTGGCACTGTTCCACATCACTGTACCTCGGCTCTTGGGGTTTGTAGGAGCTGGGAGTCATTCCCAACTCGTAACTCTTCCTAACTCTTCCTATCTTGTGTTCTAAGACTATAGTGGCTGCCATAGTGCCGTTCGTTCAAACTAACGCTGTGTCGTCAATACTTGGTGAAATCGTGCGATCTAAATTGCCTATTGTAGGCGACAGTAAGACGCTCCAGATCCAAGTTGAATCAGGTCATTTAAAGCTGTGACCAGAACGCTATGAACGTTTGAAGCCGCTGTGCAGAAATCCGACTGTGCACTCTATCTTTCGTTTTAGGCACATTGGAGCCTACTGTGACTATAACAAGTGGTATCAGAGCCCCTTGGAGCAGTTTCGACAATTGCTGGACCTGAGGAAAGGGGTGGCAGAGGTGCTGGTGGCAGTGGAGAAGCCCAAGCTCAAGGCCAACCCCGTGACTCAGCCATGGCGCCCGTGCAACCAAGTGTTGGCCCATCTAGGGATGAGCCTAGAGTGTTTGGCCTTGACAAGTTCAACGGTGACAACTTTGCTGAGTGGTCCTTCAGAATGGAGAACGTGTTTGATCACTATGACCTGCTGGAGGTGATGGAAGGAACGGAGAAGCGCCCCGAGAACGACCCGGAGAAGAGCCCGTGGGTGCGGAAGAGCGCACAAGGCTACCTCCTACTAGGGCAAGCGTTGGGGAGCAGCCAGATCCGTCACATCAAGCCTTTCCAGCGTGAACCAGAGAAGGGTCCAAAGGCATGGGCTGCTCTCAAGGGTGTACACGCTCCTGCAACAGCGGCGGTAGCTGTGGTGTTGGAACGGCAAATGGCGACACTACGAATTGAAGAGGATGAAGCGGTTGAAGAAGGGGTGCAGAAATTCTTCGACTTGTTGACGCGGCTTGAGGGAGCTGATTTGAACTATAGTGAGCTCCAAAAGAAGACCAAGTTGCTGGCCCTACTCCCTGAGTCATGGTCCTCACTCATCATCAACCTTAATCGCGACTTGCCCCGCCTCTCGCTCGAAGACGTGAAGCGAGCTATCCTTCAAGAGGATTTCCGCCGCCGTGAGTTGGCGAGTGCGGATGGCGCTGGGGCAGCGAGCATCGGCCGTGGATATGGTCGAGGAAGAGGCAGAGGACGAGGGGGAGGAAGGTTTGGTGGCAGAAACTTCGGCGGAGGCCGCGGGAGTGGCGGTTACGGCAGCGACGACAAGAGCTACGGACGCGGTCGCGACCGATTCGACGGCGAGTGTCACTATTGCCACAAGAGCGGACACATGTGGCGCGACTGCTACAAACTCCCTGATGGTTGGACCCCTGCTCAAGGCCAAGAGGGTAGAGGAGCAGGAGGAGGGAGAGGACGAGGCCGTGGAGGCCGTGGCGGTCGCGGTGGCGGAGCTGCAAACATGAAGAGCGGAGACAACGACAAGGACCCGAGCGACGATCGATACCCGGGTCTATTCTACTTCGTGTCGACGCAAGTACCGGCTGGTCCAGAGAAGGATGAAGACTTTGAGGAGCCAGCAGCTGTGGGGAAGGTGACCCTACACCCCCTGGACTATTGGGTGATTGATAGTGGCGCTACCTATAGCATGACACCTCGCCCGGACTTGCTCACCGAACTCGAGCCGTCACCGGTGAAGCATGTCACATCGGCTTTGGGGCAGCGAGCAGAGGTGAAAGGCATGGGCAAGGCCATGTTCAAGGGTGCTGATGGGAAGATGGTGGGCCTCAAGAACGTGCTTTGGGTGCCCAGCCTTGCTGCAAACCTGATTTCCGTGCGGCGGTTGGCAAAGGCCGGCATGGACACGAACTCGAAGGGAGCCAAGACCTACACCGCAAGGCTTGGCGATCGAATTCTTTGGGACCTTCATGAGGACAGGGATGTCTACAACGAGATGTGGCAGATCCCAGTGGTCCCTATGCCTAAGGAGAGGCAAGTGGCAGCAAGCATCAGCACCAAAGGTGGAGCGGTTGGTAGCGGCGATTGCGCGGACGGTCGCGCTAAGGAGAAGGAGTCCAAGAAGTGCAATCTTGGAGGGACCAGCAAGCTTGGTGAACCTATGGAGAGAGGTGCAGCAGCCAAGGAGCAGCAAAAGGGTGAGAAGAACCCCGAGGCAGCAGCGGAGGAGGACTACGGAGAGAGTATGTGGGGCGCTATTGCGAGCGCGGCATTCTCCAATCCAACTTCGGCTACGGGGGAGTGTGATTGGCTCACCTTGCATCGGCGCATGGGGCATGTGGCCCTGCCCATCTTGCAGCAGCTAGTAAAGAATGAGATGGTTGCTGGCATACGTGTGAAGGGGGAGCCCGATGAGGTACTTGGCTGCCCGACGTGCATGCAAGCCAAGTTCACCCGTTTCCCATTCTCTAGTTCGGAGGCAACGGCTAAGGCACCACTTGATGAGGTGGTGATGGACGTGGTGGGCCCCCTAAAGCTTGGAGCTGCTGGAGCTGAGTACTTCCTCACTATTGTGGACATCTACACCCGTATGACTTGGGTGTACGTGCTGGCCAAGAAGAGTGACGTGGCTGAAACGTTGAAGGCGGATTGGTTCCCGATGGTGGAGCGGCAACAAGACCGTCTAGTCAAGTCAATCCGCACCGATCGAGGGGAAGAGTTCCTGAACAAGGAGTTTGGGTTGTGGCTGAAAAAGGATGGTATTCGGCACTCCCTCACCATGCCATACTCCCCTGCAATGAACGGCATCGCCGAGCGAGCGAACCGCACAATCGCGGAGGCGGCACGCGGGTTGCTCATTGAAGCCGGGCTACCCGACTATTTCTGGCCTGATGCGGTGCGGAGCGCGTGTGTGGCCAAGAACCGAGCCTTGACTCATGTGGGAGCAGACAAATGGGTGCCCTATGTGGAGTGGCTAGGAAGGAAGCCAAAGGTGGATATGCTTCGGGTGTTCGGGTGCATGTGCATGGCGCTCGTGCCTAAGCATCTTCGGCACAACAAGCTTGGTGCCAAGGCGGTGTGGGCCGTGCACTTGGGCATGGCTCAAAACAGCAAGGGATGGCTTCTTTGGGACCCATTCACCAAGAAGTTCTTGGTGATCAGGGACTGCAAGTTCATGGAGAACTTCATGTACAAAGATTGGAAGGCGGAGAATGAGGCGAAGATAGGCGTGCGGTTTGGGGAGGTGAAGAGTTCCGGTTTGGAGCATGTGGAGCTGCCTTTGGAGCTGAGCAGCGGCAGCACAACCACGAGGCAATCCTCCCTTGTGAATGGGGGAGAGGAGGCCAATGATGCAGAGGAAGAAGAGGAGGAGGTGCAGCAAGTGAGCGAGCGTGCACCGTCACTCCCTTCCCGCACCACAAGTGCTCCACGGATTCGAGCCACACCGCAGCAACGCCAAGGCCTTCAAGTCCCTGCAGCTGAGGAGGAAGGAAGGGGGAAGAGGAGAGTTCAACCCCCTAATAGGCTGACCTATGATGCGCCAGGAAAGCAGGGCAAGACAGCCCTGGCCGGAGCGGCAATGATGGTCGGAGACGACGAGGAGAGTGACTACGAGGAGTGTGCCTTCGCGTTCTTCTCTCCGGTGGAGATGCCGGGAGAACCAGCAACTCTCAAGGAGGCTTTGGAGAGTAGTGATGCTGAGGAGTGGAAGAAGGCCATGGAGAGTGAGCTGAAAAGCATCGAGGAGAACGACACGTTTGAGTTGGTGGAGCTACCGGAGGGGCGTAAGGCGATTACGTCCAAGTGGCTCTTCAAGATCAAGTCCGACGCCGACGGCAAGATCGAGCGTTACAAGTCTAGGCTGGTGGCCAAGGGGTACCAGCAAAAGGAGAAGGTGGACTACAAGGAGCTGTTTGCTCCTGTGGTGAAGCCGACGACGCTGCGAACCCTATTCGCGGGAGCCGCCATCAAAGGATGGGTGGTAAAGCAAATGGACATCGTAACGGCATTCCTTAACGGCATCCTTGAGGAGGAGATTTTTATGGCGCAGCCAGAGGGGTTTGATGATGGTAGTGGCAGAGTGTGGAAGCTGAAGAAGGCCCTCTATGGGCTGAAGCAGGCCCCTAGGCAATGGTACATGAAGCTGCGCGAAGTGTTGGAGGAGATCGGCTTCACTCCCTCAACGGCCGATCACTCCTTGTTCATGCTTTGCGAGGGGGAGCAGAGGAGCTTCATGGTAGTTTATGTGGATGACATTCTCATATTCTCACCCTCCTCTGACCTTGTGAAGGAGGTGATGCTGAAGCTTCAGGACAAGTTCAAGTGCAAGTCCCTTGGTGACGTGAACTTCTACCTTGGGCTCCACATCGAACGAGACGTGGAGAAGCGGTGCATGCGGGTGCACCAACGGAAGTACCTGGAGGCGTTGGCTGCCAACTTTGGCCAGAGTGAAGGCCATGTGGCTACTCCCTTTCCCTCTGGGTTCAAGTGTGTGAAGGGACCAGAGGAGGAGAGCGTTGGTGAAGAGGAGAGGCGCCGTTTTCACTCGTTGGTGGGCAGCCTCATGTATGCGGCGGTAAACACTCGGCCGGACGTGGCCTTTGCTACCGG